TGACTAGAGAGACAGCAGGATGCAGCACGGATCTTAAAGGTCTTATTAATAAAAACAAACCCGGAGCCAGGGATTGGGGTGAACGCTGGAAGATCAGAGAAGCAGAACGAGCCACAGCTACCTCACCTTGCCAGTTCCTCAGTCAATCCTATTTCCTCAAACTGGAAGCCTGAGTCCTCATCAGAATGGATCTCAGCTGAACTGCTGCTAAAAGCCTAAAAGCTTAACAGGGCCTAAAAAGGCTCTAGTTCCTGGTCCTCACACCTTATATACTTTCCTGCCATCACTCCTGGGATTAATGGCGTGTGTCACCATGCCTGGCTGTTTCCAGTGTGGCTTTGAACTCACAGAGATCCAGATGGATCTCTGCCTTTAGAATGCTAGGATTAAAGGTGTGTGTGCCACCATTTTCTGGCTTCTAAATTATCTAGTGGCTGTTCTGTTCTCTGGCCCCAGATAAGTTTATTAGGGTGCACAATACATTGGGGAACACATTGTCACCACACAGGACAGCTCTGAAAAGGCACTGTCACTCCAGAGCTCCCTGACAGCCTAGCCAGGGTCTGTGAGGCCAACACCACCGGCTAACTTCTCCCAGCCAATCCTGCTGCTTCCCCATTTTATAAGAACTGGTGTGCCTAACAGACAACAGTCTCAGTGTCCGCGTTGAGTAACTCAGCTCATAAGGTCCCTCATTACTCAGCCACCAGTGTACTTAACCCTGAGCCACATCCTTGGAATTAAGTCTGGTCATAGGATAGAAGTACTTTCTCACCCCACCTTCATCTGAAAAAGCCAAGTGGTTTTTTTTTTTTTTTTTTTTTTTTTTTTTTTTTTGGGGGGGGGGGGTGTCCTCCACTAGCTAGCTCTCTATAAATGAGAGGATACCAGGATTTTGTCCCAGAATTTGGTCAGCTCCCATCCCTCAGTTCACAGGACAGTGGGAAAGACACAGCACCTTGCCTGTCCATAGAACATGCCTGCTCTTCCCTTCCCTGGGCAGGCTGCTCTAGCTGAGGACGCCAGTTCCTCTTGTTTGCTTACTTGCCCACAGCACTGTTCTTTCTTTTCTGAGACGGGATCACTCTATGTAGCGCTAGCTGTCCCAGAACTGGCTATCTAGACTAGACTGGCCTCAAACTCAGAGATCTGCCGCCTCTGCCTCCCGAGTGCTGGGATTAAGTGTGTGTGCCACGATGCCTAGCATTTGCCAGGAGCTTTTAGAAAACTCTTTGGTATGCATAAGTAATTTTCATTTTTATAAGAAAAATAATTTATATTTTCTATAGTTACATTTATATGTGTAACATTTATAGTTACACCTTTTTTACTACCGGTCTTTTGGAAGTACAACTTAATACTATTTGTCAAGAGTTCTACAGACATTCATGGGTAGAAATTTATACTCTAAAAACAGTTGAGCAGCAGCAAAAGTCCCCAGGATCTGTGGGTACCCAAGGTGGGCCCCCAGCATGAGAAACAAATCCCACAGGGCTCCAGAGGCTGAACAAGCGAGACTGCTCCCTAAAGGACGCACCTACTCACAGCCCTGGAGAAGGCCTCAGGGCCCTCTCACACAGGCCCAGACACGGGCGAGCGGGTCAGGCCTATTCCTCAAACCTGCTGATGGCACACCTTCGTCTGCTGGGTTCTGGAGCTGCTGCTGGTGGCACAGGGAACGGAAGGTGTCTTCCTCCTGCCAGATGATCCTGTGCAAGATGATCCAGGGCAGGACTGAGGACACATAGGGCTCCTTGGGCTCCTCCTGTACAGCCATGCTGCAGTCGATGACCTGGCAAAGGGCACCAGCACATTACAGCAGGTCAGCCTCCCCACAGCCCTCTGGAAATGAGCCCACGCTGCAATGCCTTCTGGGAGAGGCGAGGCATACCATCTGCCTACCCCTACGGCTCTAACCCGGGAATACTGACCTAGCAGTACCCGTTTATCATCAGACAGTCCCACAATGCCCAGTGACAATCACATGGTCTTTCCTCATGCACATGCAATTACTGACTGTGGCAAAGGGAGCTAACAGCAGGGGCAGGCAGGCATGGGAAACTCCTGAGTCCTGTGGGCAAACACAGAAGCTACCATGAAAGTGAGAGCAGCAACAGGGTCTCGGCATAGAGTGATCAGAGACACGCCCTCGAGGTGTCCAGGTAAATGACTGTGGAATGCTCAACGCCCAGAAAGGGCAATGCATGAGGGCAGAGGACACACTCACAGGCAGGGGTCCCAGAGGGTGGCCCCCAATAGCTCTAGCCAAGAAAGTAAGAGGAGAAGCAGGCTGGGGATCAGTGCACACCCAGACAGCATGTGTAAGGAGGAGGAGACAGTCTCATATTTCAGTGTTTAAAAGGGGCCCGTGTGGCGGGACAGTAGCTGGGCTAAAAAGGTACAAGGTACAGGAAGGGCTACTATAGGGCTGTTACAGTTCACGAAAGACATGGCCGAGACCTGCACCTGGCTGAACAAAATGGAGGGGGAATAAACGCTAGAGAAGTAACACTCACAGCCAGAGTGTAAGTCTAGAAGATAGCAGGGGCACTCAAAGGAAGGGTTTCTGCCTCAAAGCCTGCCTGGGCGACACAGGGTACTATGGCCAATCTATGGCTGCAAGGGCAACCCTTCAACTACAAGTTCTAGGGTATCGTGGGGGTAGGGAAGCACAGCAGGGATCCAGACCTGGGCTCCAGTCCTCACTCTTGCAGACTCCCACTAAATGCAGACAGGACCTCGTCTCTAAGCCTATTTCTGTCCCTCTGGAACAGGAAGTCTGAGGACCTTTTTTATACCATTGCTATACCAAGTCTAGACCTCGAGACAAAAGCAGTCCCCAGGTCTGCATCCGTGGACAGCGACCTCCTCAAACTCTCAAGTTCTAGCCAGAGAAGCCAACATGTCCCTTTGGGGTACGTAAGTCACAGTGCTTATCAGCCAACCTCAGAAGGGTGTGTCGGAGAGACACACCGCTGAGACCGCACAGGGCAAAGGGGAGCGGGAGTCACCTGGATGAGGTTGTTGGTGAGCCGGACGAGGCCGGTGCTAGAGGAGGACTCCTTGAGGATGCTGCCGCTGCTGTCCGACGACAGCGCCTGCTCGATACCTAGCAGCAGCTGGGTCACTGTGGCCACCCACTCCTCCTTGGCTGCAGATTCGCTCGAGTTCACCATCTGCTGGACAGCCTCGTTCAGAGCCACGTCAGAACATTCAAAACACTGCCTGTGGTCCTTCAGCCGGAGCAACGAGTCCTGAGCACAGGAGACACCACATGGAAGGTATGCTGTCAGCTCTGCACACTGGGCCTCAGGCCGGAGCCTGGGAGGGCACCAAGGACAGCAGCAAAGAACCAAGAGCAGGCGCCACTTCAGCGGTTCTCAGACGCCTTGAGGCATCTGAAGGGCACACACTGACTCGGGTGCAATGGCAATACAGCAGGCCACCAGCCAAGGAGCTTCTAGAAAAATGCTTTACTGTTGCACCTAATCTTCCCATTTATAAAGCTGGGCCTCTGTGAATGGGACCACAGAGTTGGCAAGTAGCAAAACTGAGACTGACTGATTCCTTTGTTACCTCTTGTGCTGGTTTGAATGAGAATCGCCCTCAAAGACTCATATTTGAATACCTGGTCCCTAGTTGGTAGAACTGTTTGAGGAAGGATTAGGAGGTGTGGCCTTGTTAGAGAAGGTGTGTCACTGGGGAGGGCTTGGGGCTTTAAAAGGCCACACCAGGCCCAGTCTCACCCTCTGCCTCCAACCTGCAGATCAGAACACATGCTCTTAGCCACTGTTCCAGAGCCTGCCTGCTACACACTTCCCGCCATGACAGTCACAGACTCACCCTCTGAAATGTTCTTTTTTAAGTTGCCTTGGTCATGGTGTCTCTTCACAACAACAGAAAAGTAACTGAGACACTTCTCCAATGTACTGTGTCCCTCCACTGCCAGGTCTTGAGGAGTGAGAGGGCGGTCTCAGCAGGGTGACAACATGCTAAGAGGAGCTATCTCACGGTAGAAGGGCATGAACTGAGGCCTCAGAAGGGACAGCTGGCCAGTAGCTGATGAAGTCATCATTCTGTGAGCCCCCTCTTCTCCAATGCCCCTCTCAGCCTCAGCCATGGCATCACTCCTTGAAGGTACCGTGAGTATTCCATGAACTGAAATGCATACCACACCGAGCACAGTGCCTAGTGCCTGGGACATCAATCACTCTTAGAACACCAAACAGAGCCATGACTTCTATGTTAAAATCTCTGGGGAAGCCATCAACTTTCTACAAAGCTCCTTTGAGGAGGGAGAGGAGGCCCAGAATATAACCCATTTAAACACCAGGGAAATGGGCTTTCACCAGTGGCTGTGCTTCAGCAAACAGTGTGTGAACTCATAGATCTGACAGGCAGCTTGTTGGACCAGCAGGAAGCACCTACTGCCTGCCCTGTGCCCACCTGGCTCAGATCCACCACCACCCCCAACCCCAAGCCTAGGCCTAGTGGCAGCTCCTATCCACCTTTCTCTGGATGACACAGGTATGGGAGCAGAAATGTCCCAAATGCCTTTGGAATATATTGCAAAATTTGAACACAAACCTTTCTCCCAACTCACCAAGCCAGGAAAAGGGAGCCTCTGCTTCTTAGAGAAAGCAGCTTCCTTGACCAGGGGGCCACTGGGGGATGGGCTACGGAGTATACCTGTGGGGTCCAAATCCCAGCTGACTCTTTCTGATCAAAACTGACCACGCAAGAGGCAGATATAAGAACATGCACACAGATTTCTGTCAAAGTTGGCAAAGGTGAGAATCTGCCAACAGTGCTCTAACAGAACATACTCTGGCTCAGGGCCAGAGTGAGCAAAAAAGCAGATGAGCTGCCAACTAGTGTAGAAACCAAATTAGCGCTCTCTGTGGGCAACACCACTGCACACCCAAACAAATAAACAGAAAACAATAAAAAGGAACGGGACTCTCATTGAGGGACAAGGTTCAAATAAAGAGGTAAAAATCAGTAGGGTTCTCAGAGACCAACAATGTTCAGTTAAAAAGGATAGTAACATCTAAAATTAACTCAACAAGAAGGAACCATTGCTATACTGAGGAACACAAAGAGCAGCTTGCTAAACTGGGACCTCTTTCTTGTATCCCCCCATCCATGAGGATTCTGAATTTGATCCCCACTCCAGAAATGCCAAAGCAGGCAGGTTAAAACATGTAAAACAAAACATGGCCATTGCTGGAGGCCAGTAAGGGCAAATGTACTTTTGTCCAGTTGGTGGTGTCCAGCCTCCTGCCTCCTCCCTCTAGAACACTGCAGCCTTCCTCACTACTGCCAGGTACAGAGGAATGCCAGTCCTCTGTGTGGAATAACTTGAGTAGATGGGTATTGTTCCAGCTGAGGAAATGTTATCTAAGTACATGAAACAAACTTACAAAGAACAAAATCACAACCATTTGAAAATATGAAAAGATTCTGACAACATAAAAACTGAGAACTTTGTATGTAAAAACAAACAAAATAAGAATAAACTTCATGATTTAAAAGTGAACAACATGCTGGCAAAACAAAATAAAACTATCAAGATCCAATGAGAAAACATGTTACCTTTAATGATTAAAAAAAAAAAAAATCACTCCAATCAACAGAAAACACTCTCAATGAAAATCATTTCTTCCTAGGAGCAGAAGCTCCACAGTGCATGGCCCAGACCTCAGAACAGCCCAT